GATGAAAGTCAGAAGTAGTGGTAGGCACAATAATCAGTAAATCTCCAAATGCCTAAATTCTGCCTTGACCATTACTATTCCCCATGAGGTCTGGAGGTAGATATGCCCACAAAAGAAAACAAATATCCATTCTTATTAGCTAGCCTTATACAAACAGGATTTCTCTTTCGCTGAGCTGGAGCACAATGAATGGGGTGAGACCAAAGGACATCTCTCCTTTTCCCAAGCCCAAACCTAAATCTGGCATCATTTGGACTCAAGGAAGGAAGTCTACTGAAGAGATGAGAGTTGCAGAATGTGCTTCAGAGACTAGCGGAGAGAAGTATATAGATGGCCAAAGATCCTCTGGGCACAGCACCCACTGGCTGAGCTGCTCATTTGCTTTTGAAGGTGACCTTGTAATGTAGTAATTGAGCTAGTGAGCATCCTGCAAGCAGGTTCAACAGTTCAGTGTGCCCTCCTCTTGGGAGAAAGTGGAGAAGGGAGAGAGCCAGGGCCTACATCTCCCTGGAGGCGACCAACTCCCCAGATGCCTACAGCTAAGGAAGATTCCATTTGATTTCAGCAAACAAACTGTTGTCCAATATGGTTTCTGGATTGATGAGGCAGTCCTCAGAGCCTGGGGGAAATTACGTGGAGAAAAAAATATTATGGATTTATACCTCAAAATTGTGGGTTGTGGAAATAGCAGCCTATAATTTCTTCCCTGTAATTTCCCTTCTCGTGCTTATGTTGCCTAAACGGTGGGTCCTGAGCTATCAGTTCATCCCCAACTTCAAGGTCTGTGGTTTTGGGGGTATTTGCCTTTATCCCACTGCCCCCTATTTCCAGGAATGTCTACAGAACTGGAGAGTAAATGCCCTGAGACAGGGACCTCTTTTCCATTTTCCACTTATGTGGTATCCTTTCAATAGGTAGCACAGGAAAGGCTTTTAGAACCCAACTGGGACAAAACCCTCATTAGAGAGATGAGAAAGTTGAGGCCCAGGAGGGCCACCTGGCTTGTTGACCAATTCCACATTGTCTGTCTCTGAACTCAGTACTCTCTCCACTGTACCACACAGCCCTAATCACAAGTCAGGTTCTCCTAACAACAGCTATATACCAACAGTGGCAAATGATGGGTAGGTGTGAGTAAATGTAAGACTAGGGAACATATCAGAGTAGAGTACTACCTTCATCACATACAGGTGAGTCTACAGAAACAAGTGTGGAGCAATATGTAGAGTATAATCTCATTTCTGCTCCTCCCTCAGCACAAAAATAGCAGCCTGGTGTGCTTCTGTGTGATTGTGCCGATGAGTATCTACGTGCGTGCTCTCACACGCAGAGAAAAGGTCCATGGTAGGCTCACCAACTGTTCACAGTGGACTCTCCTTGTGGGTGGGAGACTTTCATTCTTTCACTCATTATATTCTGGTATTGCTACATGTTTTACAATGAGCGTGTACTGCTTCTGCAATTCAAAAGGGCACAAGCTAGAAAAAAATAGTGGCTGCCATTTACTGGGTATGGAGTACAAACCAGGCACTATGCTGACCCCCTGACAGGCACCATCTCATTTCATCCTCCCAGCGGCTCTACAGTGTGGGACTCTTATTATACCCCAGATAGGGAAACTGAGGCTTGAAGAGGACGTACGGTTAGTAAGTGGTGAGTCAGGATCTGAACCAGGACCCTCCAACATGAAAGCCACATTGAGGTTAGCCCTACTATCTCACTCTATTCCACCTGCACTCAATAGAGAAAAGAGTGTGTGTCCCCCATGGGAATGTCATCCGTTTATCCTGAGTTGCTTCACGGCAGAAAAAGGCTGCCAGCTGCTGTGCTATGGAACTAAGGCACCTTGGGGTGTCTGCTGCCTGAGCTGAAGGCCCATTTGCTGTGCCCCTCTCTCCTGGCCTAACCCCCATGCTCCTCCATCCACACTATTCTTGGCTCTCTCTCCATGTGTGAATTCCATTAAAGGCCTGCTCACTGCTATTTTGGGCCATGCATTAGCACATGGGCTTTGATTAGACGAGAGAAGGCCAGACACTTCAGGATGATGAAAAAGAAATTAGAAATGTCCTCTCCCTCCCCTCAGAGTCCCAGAAGCCCTTATCCACAGCTCCTAGGAGGCCTGAGAATCCAGTATATGAGGAGACGTAGGTGGGGGCAGGGGGAGGGAATGGAAACCCTCATAACCTATTAGGACCTTTGAACCTGGCTGTTTTTGCTCCTTGGAACTGTCATCTCCCCGCTGTCCACGTGGCTCACTTCCTCGCCTCCTTCAGGTCTGGACTCAAATATCAATTCACCACCAAGGCCTGCTCTGGCCACCATTCCCAAACAGCACCTCCCTCCTGAACCCCTGCTCTTCAGAGCCCTTATGTTCCTTTTGTTTCTGCCACAGCAGTTGTCACTGGACATACTACACATTCACTTGTGTATTTATTGTTCCCCTCCACTGAAATATAAGATCCAGGAAGGCAGAACTGTTTTATTCACAACTGTATCTGCAGTACCTGCACTGGTGCCTGGAATGCTACAGATGCATCCAAGAGGGAAAGGATAAATGAATCAACTGAGGAAGTTAAGAACCAGAGCCTGAGGATCACTTAGCACAGGGCCTAGTTTCCCCTCAAATATCATGGGATTATAAAAACTTTACAATTTTTATAAAATGTGAAAAATCAGAAAAGCAGCACCACCACCCCCCAAGCTGTTTTGAATCCAGACTTGCACGCACCATGAATGAGAGGGCTTTGGGAAGTAAACACACTAGGAAGTCATGTGCAGTTGGAGTTCCGCTTGCTAACACATGTTCAAAAACAAAAAGCCCAATTTAGACGAAAATAGCAGGAAGCCATCCCCAGGGATACCTGGTGAGGTCATATTGCTTGGCTCTGCTGCTTCCACTTTTGTCAAGTCTCCTGCCTGCTGCCAGTTCAAGGACGCCAGGAATCACATACAGGCCACTGCTGATCACTGGGAAACAAAAGAGCTCCACGCAACAGACAACAGAACCACATCTCCGGGCTCTCCTATGGAACCTCAGTGTGGGACCGTAAAACATCACAATAGTAGTCAACTATTTACTGTGTTCTCTGTAAGCACTTTGTGTACATCACTGTACTCAGCCCTCACAACCACCCATATGAGGCTGGTGTTACTAGTCTCATTTTATAAGTGGGGACACTGAGATTCTAAAAGACGCAGCAATATGCCCCAGGTTACTCAGCTAGTAAGTTGAAACTGGGTTTCTGTGACTCCAGATCCAAGAACACAAATGATCCTCATTTCACCTCTCTCATTTACTTGCTGTGTGGCCTTAGGCAAGTGCCTATCCTTCCCTGAGTTGAAGTTTCTGCTTCCATGCATAAGACTGCTGCACTCAGTGTTTTCTATGGCATCTTCATGCTCTAACTTCCTATGACCTCTTGCAAAGACTCCAAAATACGAAGGAAGGATGAGTCCTGGGATCCCTGCTTGGCCAGTCCAACTCCAAAGGATTTGCCCATGACACTAACCCCATCACCTAGGCAGCCCAGAGGAAGCTGAGGGGTCAAATGCCCCAGCTGGAGGCAGAATAGGACAGATTAGACAGAGGTGGCAATAGGGAACAATAGACTAGAGCTAGAGGGTTAGGGCCATGAGAAACTGAGGAAGGCCCCTGAGAGAGACTAAGAACAGACCCTCTGGGGGCCTTTCCTGCAAGACCAAAGGAAGACAATGCAAGGAGAAATCCCAGGCAGATTTCTGGGCCTGCGCCCTCTGCAGACACAGCCAGCTGGGTCTACTCCAGGGAAATGGGACAAAAGGAACACATTCTTGGGCTGGTTTTACTCCAGGAGTAAGGTAGGAGGAAAGTAGCAAAAATGATTGAGATGCCCGTCTTTCTGACTTCCCAAAGGCCACCACATGCTGGAGGCAGAAGAAAGACTCGGATGAAGCCCATTACTGCACAGGCTGCTTAAGTCATACTTTTACTGCACTTCCGACACCACTCAGCCTCCTCTGCGAGTGTCCAAAAAGCCCAAATTTGGAATAATTTATATTCTTGCTTTCCACCCAAGCTTAGCAGTCATTCCCATCCTCCTGGATGTGGGAAGGTCCCTATCCATCGCTTTCTTGGCAGGGATGCATGTGATTACTCATCTGCTTCCAAGGGACTCCGGAGGCTGCCAAGAGGAGACAGGCAGTTCTGAGAGCCATGCAGCCTTATCTGCAAGGTCTGTGCCACAGAATGTAAGGGGGACTGTTGGTGGGGAAAGATCAGAAGCCCTCAGAGGACCCCGGCCAAGTAAGGAGAGCTCTCCAGTGGCCAAAGCAGATTGGGAATGGCCAAAGAATGGGCAAAAGACACAGCCGTGCCTCACGTCTATTCACCTGCTCGATAACGTGAATCAAGATACAGCTGCACTTGACAGCATATCAATGTGGAAATATTTCTGAGCCAGGCAGCCACCCAAGAGGAGTGAGGTTAGGAAGATGCAGGAACCAGCCCGATGAAGCCAGGAGACTGCTGACCATGCCCTTATTGGCAGGAGCTCAGATGTAGCTGACCCAGAATAGACAGAGCAGCCAGGGTGTGAGCATCAAATCCCAGAACACTCCACCTTGCCTCTCTCCTTTCTGCTGTTTTCCTCTAATCTCCTTCACTTCCTGCTGTGCGCTGTGCTGGAGCTAGTAAGACAGCTGCCAAAGTCCTCCAGCCCATCCCTCCCTTCATGTCTCCCACTTACACACACTCACACATTCACGTGCAGTGAATTCTAAGAGGCCCCAGAAATACAGCCTGAGGAAATTCAAGGAAGACGTTAAACAGTCCACTAATTTCACAGCAAGTCAAGAGACTGTGGAGATGCTGGCTCTGTAAGATGCTCCCCACAAAGGAACCCTAGCTTGAGAGCTTGGGTCACTTCACTAACCGCTTCCTTCCAAAACAGCGGCACCTGCGTCCGGCACTGACATGCAAGTGGGTTGTTTCATTTTAGACAAAGGAGAAGTCCACTTACTCATTCTTCTCCAGGTCCAGGATCAGTTCTCGCCCCTCAGTCATCACCCTGAGCTCAGCTTTGAGTGGATGCTAAAAGCAACAACAAAAGAATGTCAGTTCCTAAAAACAGGGGACAAGGCTACCAGGAAGGGGCGCACGATCTAGCACAGGGCTCTGACCTGGATCCACAGGAAGTGGATCCACAAAAAAGGCTCAATCTCATTTCCAGCCCAAACATGAAATATCTTCACTCCCAGAAGGACCCAATTCCCCTCCCCCATCTGCATTCTCCTCAAAGACAAAGGAGAGAAACTCCAAGCCGAAATGTGGTTTTAAGTGCCTGCATGCAGGCCTGGTAAAGGCAAACCCTGAAAAACACGAGCTTGGAAGACAAATTTTGAGTGGAGTTAGATCTGGCTTCACGTGCTGGCTCCGACACTATAGTTGTGAATTGGGCACATTACCGAACCTCCCTACAACTCAGTTTCCTCATTTATAAAATAGAGAAGTAATAGTCAACTTTATGGGGATCTTGTAAAGACTAAGTGACATGGTAAATGTAAAGAATTTATTACAGTGCTTGGCATACAGGAAGCCCGTTACATGTTGGCTGTTATCTAAAATACCAGGGAAAGCCTCTTCATCATGGTCTCGTATTTTATTTTATATTGGCTCTCAGTTTGGATACCCCTCAATCATCTCAGAGGAGACAACTAGAAGAACCTCCTACTAAGGTTTTAAAGGTCTGAAAGATACATTTTACACACAGGAGAAAATGTGCTGACGGCCACAGTAGCTACACACCCAGAATAGACCATTTAAAGTATCATACAAACGGCCAATAAGCATAAAAAACATGTTCAGCATCACTGGTAACTTCCCCTCACCCAAAAAGATTTTTTTTTTAAGATACCTTTTAAAAAACCAAAGCAACAAAGATTTTTTTTAAAACCATAAATCACAATGCAGGGGAGTATACTATAGAATGGGCACTCTCACACCCTACCAGTGAGAATTTCAATCAATACTGGCTCACTGGAAAATAATCTGTCAGTATGGACCAAGAGTTTAAAAATGTTTAGGCCCTCTAACTCAGAAATAGAAGATTCTATCTAAAGGGAACAAATGGAAACACAGGCAATGTTTTATACACAAGGATGCTCATTACTTACAATAATGACTAATGAAATAGAACCTAAATGTCCAAAAATAGGAGAATGGTTAAATAACTGATAATCCATTCACATGACAAAACATTACACAGTCACTAAAAATGATGACTTTCAATAATTTTTAAATTATCAAGAAAGTACACATGATAATGATTAAGCACAAAGGTTTAAAACATAACACTGTATGTTTTATTCATTCACACTTTTGTAAAGTGACTAAAGTAGAGAGAAATAAACCAAAAGGTTACCATAGTTACTTCTCAGCAGTGAGAACATGAGTTAATTCTATTTTCTTTCGTGCATTTTTCCATGTTTTTATAATGGCTTTATATATATACTTTTTTTTTTTTTTTTTGGACTGCATTGGGTCTTCATTGCTGCACACAGGCTTTCTCTAGTTGTGGTGAGTGGGGGCTACTCTTCGTTGCAGTGCACGAGCTTCTCATTGCGATGGCTTCTCTTGTTGCAGAGCTCTAGGCATGCAGGCTTCAGTAGCTGTGGCGTGAGGGCTCAGTAGTTGTGGCTCGCGGGCTCTGGAGCGCAGGCTTGGTAGTTGCGGTGCACAGGCTTAGTTGCTCCACAGCATGTGGGACCTTCCTGGTCCAGGGCTCGAACCTGTGTCCGCTGCACTGGCAGGCGGATTCTTAACTACTGCCCAGCAGGGAAGCCCAAGCTTCTACCCCTTTTAAGGTTGACCTCAAAGCTTAGTTTTGGCATGTATGAGAAAGTGGGTCACCTGCTTTGCCACCTCTGGTTGGGGCCTGCCTCTTCCAAGCACGTTTCTCTTCTTATCAGCTTCAAACTCCACTTCCCATTAGGGTCCTGGGCATCCCTGAAACTTTTGTGCCACTGAGGGCTCTGATGAGATCTGAACATTGTGATCTAGGATGCTTATGCAACTCTGTCCTTTGCTATTTCTTGCTAATTTATCCTACTCACTTCTCCTAACAAGGGACGTTTCAAAAACATGGGGAGAGGAAGCTAGGGGTATGTTTACCCAATAACTTTCACTAAGAAATTCACTTCTCTGTTTCTGATGCCTACTTCTGATTCAGCTCTACCAATACCTATTTCTGGTCACTGGTCCTTTGCCACTTCACTCTGGGAGGTCTGGAGCAAGGGCCCTGCCCAATCACATTAAGCATCAGAGACACAGTCCCAAGTGGGCATTTGAGGAAAAGCACACAGCAACAGAGCTGTATCAATCCCTTATCCAAGAGGTAGGTGGCCAAAAGTCCACACAAAAACATGAAAGCTGACAGAGATCAAAGCACTGTCACTTCTCTCCCAGAGACACAAGCTGCAACATGAGTATGAATATTTATTTTTAAGTGGGTAATCCAAAAATATTTCTCTAGCCTGGAAGATGCTCAGACACTGATATTTAAGATATGATGTTTCCAGGGGACATTTCAAGCGAAACAATGAAATAGCACTGTAAGGATTTATGTAGCTTCCCTGTCCAGATTCACTCAGCTTTTGTCTTGCAACTCCACTCTGTCCTAGGAAGGGGCAACATCACCTCTCCTAGGAAGTGTAGGAGCTGACCCACTGTTTATACTTCCCCAGGGCAGGTTAAAATGCCTTTCTCTTTTGAGCTAGATTAAATAGATCTTCAGCTCCACAGGGTATTGGAAATCTGTCCTATATATCTGTACCCCCCTTAAGACATAGTACAATATTTAGCATATAGTGTTCAACTAACGTTTGATGAATGAAGTAATTACAAAATGAGAATAAGATGCCTGAGTGATACCTACCTCTCCCTCTCTGACATTCATTCATTTGTTCTTCAACAAATATTTATGGTGCCAGGCACGGTGCTAACTATTCCTACAAAATACAATGACCCAGATTCTGGGCAGACAATGGCTGGGAACAAAGACAGGATCTGAGCTCCACTTTGTTTCTCAGGCCCTTCCTGAGGATGCCCAGCATCCCACATCTGTAGGGAACAGAGAAGCGTCTATAAAAGTATCAGATCCATTCCTCGGACAATAATGGATAGCTTGGAATATCCAAGACCTTAATTTTTAAAAACAACCTTCTCTAGGATGGCCATCCATTAATTTGTCTAGACTTTTCCTGAAGCTATTTTCAGTGTCTCCTACTTTTTGACGAAATGAGCACCATACATTTATTGTCTTTAGGATAAAATATTATTTGCTTTCATTTGTCCTAATATTTTTGCTGTAAATTCCCTTATTAAATCCAAATTGGAGCATTTTTGGACATGTCTGTACTACTCTAGGCATAACTTCATGTATTCTGGGTATTTCTACTCTCCATTTACCTTTCCAGACTCAAGGACCACAAGTCTGAAATCTTTCCTGACACAGCTCTCTCCTCTCTCTGCTACCGTAATCTGGCTCTTATATGTTGCCCAATAAATCACTGACCATTTGAACCCAAAGGACTCTTATTAACTACCCCTCCTCTCCAGCCCTCTTCCTTCTTATCCCCTCTAAGCCCCATTTTATAAATGAGGAAACTGAGTTCAGAAAGTGAAAGGTCCAGTAGCTGGTTACTGACATGCAACAATCACATCTTCCTTTCTAGTTCTTTCTTGTCTCACTTGAGCTATAAGAACCAGAACCAAAGACTATCCTAGATGGCACAGATCCTTCCTGCAAGAACAGGATAATGTTTTCTGTCTTATTCCCAATCCCCTTTATAAAGCCTGTGCATTCTGCTGGTGTCATGGCCCAAGGAGCCTACTGAATTTTAAGATTATTGGATTTGAAGACAGATTCCTCAGTACAAGATCCCTACCCTGCGTCTTATTTTTAAAATAGTTTGGGTTATCATTTTTCTCTCCAAGTATATTATCTCATCAATAAAGTGAAGCAGGGACATCCCTGGCGGTCCAGTGGTGAAGACTCCACGCTCCCAATGCAGGGGGCACGGGTTTGATCCCTGGTCAGAGAACTAAGATCCCGCATGTCTCACAGTGTGGCCAATAAATAAATAAATAAATAAATGAAGTGAAACACATATTATGCAGAGCAAAAACTAATGACAAAATTTAATCAATCCCAGCTGAGAGTCGGTGATTTTTGTGACACATATTTGCACTTAGCTTATGTCAGCATTAACATGGATTTTCATTTCCTCAACTACTTGCATTTAGAAGTGTTTCTAGTAGGTTGTCACACAATGAAGGAAAGCCCCATCTGGGATTTCCAAAACTGGAACACAGAGCAGATAGAGTGGGCCAGAAACGGAACCAATGGTGATAACTGGGCTTCCAGGAAAGTTGAGTAGGTGACCTCAAGCCTCACAAAATGGAGCTGTAAGCTTCTGCCTGTGAAAATGAGATTCTTTGTCTTACCTTTTCCCTCAAGGTGCTTTCTGCAGTCTTCCACTGAGGTATTATTAGTTCATGCTGTGGCTGGGGGCTGCCTTCCCCACTTCCTCCTGCCAACACAGGAAGCACACCATTGGAATCCCAGACCTCTGCACCCTAGCTAAGCCAGGCATGCACTGCCAACTGGAAAGACCCATATTGGGTTGTCAGGAGACCTGCTGGATTCCAGGCTCTTGGCACTCACTATGGGTCAGGCACTCTGCTAGGTGCTGATAATATAGTGGTTGGTCTGTGTATACTTCACAAAGTTTATCTTCTAGAGATGGGAAGCGGACAACACAAATATTCTCCAGTGGTACCAGAGGGTCATGAAATAAAGAGACCCTGAAGAGGAGGTACCTATTTTAGAGAGGATGATCAGCAAGGATGGCATTTAATTGAGACCTGAGGGACCAGAAAGAAGACGCAAAGATCTAGGGAAAGGGTGTCCCAGGAAGACAGGTCAGCAAGAGCAGAAATGGCCTTGGCCTGTTTAAGGAACAAGCAGAAGTTAGAGGTAGCTAGAACGTAGCAAAAAAGAGGGGAAATTGGTAGATATGGTCAGCAGGACAGCCATGGGTCTGATATCACAGAGGGCATGCAAAGTGTCTGGATTTTATTATAAATAGACTTGGAAGGCACTGGAGGGTTTAGACACAGAGCAATATGATCTGTATTTGGTTTTTAAAAGATCTTTCTGCCGCTGGGTGGAGATGGAGAGGGTGGAGGTTGGGGAGGGAGGCAGGAGTGGACGTAGAAGCAGGAAGGCAAGGCTGGAGACTTGCAGGAGCCCTAGTGAGAGTTGCTGGTGGCTCAGACTAGAATGACATCAGTAGAGAGGAATGAAGTGTTTGGATTCTGGGTATATCTGGAGGGCGAGCCCCTGGGTATTATTTCCATTGAGTTTCAGTTTTCTCATCTATAAAATGAAGACAATGATACCCACCTGCCCATCTCACAGCATTACTGGGGAGAGTTACTGTGAAAGTGCTTCCCAATCTGCAAAGCATCATCGCGTTAACCTGAGCTTCCTAAGGGCAAGTTTGCTTTTTCATATCACTTTCTACTTTCCAAATGATTCTCACCACCCAGTTCTCTGTACTCAAGACAACCCTGGGAGCTAGGTGGGAGGATTCCTATTTTTCAAGAAAGGTGAACTGAAATCTGTTTGAGGAGACTTGTTCCAGGCAGGGCAGACCTCAAACATTGGTCGCAGGCAATCTTAATAAAGTGGTAATTGCTCAAGACCTAGGCAAATTAGTCTCCGCAAGAATAGGCCAAATCCACAGGACTCCTGGGGTTGAAGTGAGGACTCCAAAATTTATTCTTTCTAAACCAACCACATCAATCACATAGAATACAATGAGTGACACAGAAGATGGCCAGAGTTGTTCTGTTAGACTGGCCCAATTATGAGTGATTAACTTTCCTTTGAGATTACTGATATGATGTATTCTCAATCAAAATAGATCCCAAAAAATAATCTCATTAGAGTAGCATTAGTTTCATCATATTAGTAAAAATGAGAAGCAATTCATTCATTTACTCATTACATATTTTCTGAGCGCTTAACTATATGCCAAATACTATGCTAGGTGCTTGATATTCATTGGGGAATCAGGCATAATTTCTGATCTAGTGGCTCTGATCAATCTAGATTCTCTGCAACAAAAAGGAATTATGCTATTCAATGGAACATTCAAAGGAATGAAATGATCTTTATGATTGCAAAAATTATTGAAAGCAAGGCTCGATAACAGGAACACAGTACATCTTAAGAAAAATTGTTGGGCTTCCCTGGTGGCGCAGCGGTTGAGAGTCCGCCTGCCGATGCAGGGG